GTAATAACTTATCATCCCCTCTGAATTTCTTGAGTTTCCCCCATGGATCTCTTTATGCTTAGAGTGCATATTCTTCGTCTGCACTTGCAATACCACTTTCATGTGAGGGCTGACTGGGGCTGAGATGGAGCCTTCTGCAGGTAAAATGCACTCAGGCTTTTGTGTTGCAGGATCCTTTGCAGTGCCGTGTGTCACTTACACTCGGATTTGTAACACGTTTCTACCAGCTATTTTATAAAAAGTCTGGTGTACGTTTAGCAGAACGTGCTCTTCTGCCAGCTAAACAGATTTCTTTGCTTTTGACTCCCAATGCATGTGGGTTGGCACTTGACTTTGGAGTACCTTTGTATGATATTCTGTTTGGCTTGATTTGCAACTTCAAGTTTTAACATCTTCCAGAAAAGTAATTATCAGCCTCCTAGGATCTAAGTGACATCACTTAAAATAGTTTTTTGATGTGTTTGAGACTGTGATTTTACTCTGCATGTCTTGTCTTTTTCTTTTTTTTCTGAGAGGGCCTCTCATGAAGAGCAGAGAGAGATGCATAGCTGTGCAAAGGGGAAAAAATTCCAAAACTTGTGTTGTTCATATGTGTATATATACAGGCAGAGAACTTGTGTAGTTCAGAACTCTTGCCATCACTTGTGAAGTGGCTTGAGCTAGAGAAGCACAGCCCAACCACTGGGCAAAATTTGGAGATAGTGACAAAAGATCACTTCTTCCCTGAAAGCCAAAAGTAGAGGGGAATAAAAATTAAAAAATTAAATTTTACATACCTCTGGGCCCACCAGTGACAATCGTTGGTTTAAAGAAACAAATTACAGTTTTGAATTTTTTTGCCATAAGTAGTCCTTTGAACTACGAAAAACAGTGTTTCAGTAAAATGTTTGTGTCTTTGCTGAAGGGCAGGATCAATACATGATATAATTATATTTACTTTTTAGGCAAAGGCTTAAAATGGTTTATAGTTTCAAGACACTTATGGGGTTAAAATAAATTGTGTGATGCAACTGTTGGTGGCTGTCTGAATTCTGATCTGGCACTTTGAAGGAAGTAGTGGGTGCAAAGCATCGCTTGCAGGTTAAAAATAGAAATGATCAATTTTTACTTCATTTCTGTGGGAACCTAAATCTGATCCTGTTTCATTGCATTTAGTATATGTTCAAAGCACAGCTCCTCAGATTGCTTCCATTCCTTTCAGACGTTTAACACACAAATCTGCATCTCTTCTTCTGTTTAAAGATTTGTTCTGCTTTTCATGGTGTAAATATTACCTGGTATGTGCTTTGCAATCCAGGTTCTGCAGTTCTTTGTCAAGGGAACAAACTGAGTAAAGTCATTAAATGATAATAGTTCATATACCACTTCCAGGATCCTTTTACTGGTCTTTTCATCTTGTCTTTGTTGTGCTCCTTGCCCCCTTTGTAAAGGGGTAAATGCCTTGAGACAAGGCAAAGAGGAAAAAAAAATTCATATACTTCAATATAAATTTTAAACCTTTTTGCCCATTGATGCTAAATGGTTCAGTAACTTGATCCAAACTGACAAGAAAGATAACAGATAAGTTAGCTAACCATAATATGAACTTCCTTCTATTTCCCCCCTGCTAAGAAAAAAAATCCACAAGGAACACAGATACAGGACACATGGTCTCATTGCAGTCAGACTGACAGAGCTGAGGCATACATTTGTTCTGTCAGAAATGTATTGAAAACAAACCTATAGATGATACAAATGTTCAGGGGGGTGTGTGTATGTTAAAGTTCTTTGCACTAGCATCACAAGCATTAGGTTTTTTTATAGATTATCTTCATGGTGAGATCTCATTATTTACTCATTACTGAGTGAGTGGCTAATTATTTATGGTATGATACCAAGTGGAGTTTAGGACGTGGGTGAAGGTTAGCAGGATTAAATTTTGCTAGGCTCTGTCAGTATTTTATTTATTTTTTTTTTAACACAGAGTATTTTATAAGTCTTCCCCTCCTGAAAGTGGCCCCAGATTATCTCAGCTGGTCAGCCACAGCTGCTGGTGGCTCTGCAGAAGACAGTGGCCAGTTCCCAAGAACAGTATTTTTAACTCCCAGAACACAACCTAAATCAGTCCTCCACCACAACAAATCAATCACACAGGCAGATTCGTGACTTATGGAGAGACACAAACGATAAACAGAGGGCAATGAGCATAATTGTACATTTAATTTCTTCCTAAGTAGGAGATGAACTGCTTCTCAGCCTCTTTCAAATTAAATTTACCACAGAATCCATCTTGTGTGTTAATTCTTACTGTTAATAGAACAGTGGTATTGCATGTATTCCTACAGGTACAGGGACTCAGAAAATACAACTTCACAACAAAATCCTGGCAAAACTTATGTTTATGGTGTCCTCTGTAAAAGCTCTGTAGCCTTTCTGGGTACGTTCCCATACTGCTTTCCTCTGTGTTACATTCCTCACAAAGGGATGACTGTTTACAGTGTTTCCCATGTCCCTTTAAGCATCCTAATTGGTCAGTTTGGTTTTGGCTGAGACTGGGTCTCTAGAAATGGCACACCCTGGTAGGAGAGCAGAACACTTGGTGTTGGGGAACCATGACATGCAGTACATGTCTTTTGTCATCTGCTCCAGACTGGCTCACCTGGTTCACTGGGCTCAATGTCTGTTAGCAATGGGAGGGCATCAGTTAATCTTCTAGTTCGGCTTCATCCAAAAAAAAAGTCTAATTTGTACACCCCAAGATTAGTATGAAATTAAAATTGAATTGTGGCAAGTGCGGACTGGTAAAGTTGTTTCAAAAGCATTCTCGTGATCCAAGCTGAAACAGTAATGTAAATGCAAACTGGGTGCTCAAAAAGGATAAAAAAAAAACCAAAACAAACCAAAAACAAACCCCAAACTACTTTTTATTTGCTTTCAGAGTGAACTACTTTGTGGTTTTAATACAGCAGAGCACTTAAAAGCTGTTCCATTGCTTCATTGGGCTCGCATCAGTGGGCACATGCTGGGGTGTAACAGACTGATGGCCTCTGATAAGGAACTCACTTGAAATAAGAAACATGGTTTTATGACAGTGCAGTGTAACTAGTGGTTACTGGTTGACTAGCTGATGATTAGTGGAGAATCATTTACAGTGATTCAGAAGATCCAGCACTCTGAGCCTGTTACTGGTATGCCAGTGACCTTAACAACAAGGAGGAAAATAAGTCAAGTTGCCCGAAGAAAGAGTTTGATTGTTTGCAAAACGCAAAAACAAGAAAAAGAAATTGAAAATCCTTGGGTTTGTCTGCATTTTTGTCTGTATCAAGACCCTGCATTTCAAAACTTTACTGAAACGAAGAAATCATGGATGTATTGTTTAGATATATAAATTTCACTGTTAATTTTTTGAAAAGGAGAAGGATGTCTACCACAGACCTGAAACTATTTTAAGTGTTTCTGTTGCAGCTCTCTAGATCTTCTTTCTGTGTCAGTGGCACAGCATATGACAGTAGTAGATTGTGTAAATACAGCAGTGTGAGCTCCAAATAGTCTCATACCTGGTAGAGATGCTCCTGAACATGTCAGATGAGCAGTCATTGCAGTTAGCTATTTCTGTGGGAGAATTTTATGTGTTCCTCCTCATCCCAGCTATATATATGATGCAATAAGGTGCTGAAACCTACTGAAATCTGGTTTTGTAATAGAGAAAAGGTGCAGGACAGGACTAAATGTGTTTTGTACTTGCTGGCTAAACCCCATGATGTATTCTCATAGTTGTGGGCTCTGATTCATAAAGATTTAATCTGTAGCTATGTTTCAATAGCAGCTAGCCCACTCATGAGACATGTACCTTCGAGTCTTGTGTCTGTGTGGTCTTACAGTCTCATTGCAGATTAGAAATGGAGATCTGTAAAAATGAGGCCGAATGGACTTTAAGATGATGGGAAGATTTTACCTGAGCTCAAGTAGTTTCTTAGATGTTACACTCTGTTTTGTACAACACGCCTAAAACTTGAGATATTGATACTATGCTTCATGGATATTTTATTTTTTCCAAGCACAGGCATTTTTCAGGTGATGGGCACGTGGTGATTACACACTGCATGGATTGCTCTGTGTCAACCCTCTGGCTCTGGCCTAAGAAAGGAGGATAGGGTTTTCCTGTCTTGTTCCTTTAGATGCAATGCTTAGCTGGAGGCAGGTAACCAAAGCAGGTTTAATTAGAGGAAGCCTTTGCTGCCTCTAATTCTTTTATATGCTTGTTATTATATTAATAAAAAACAAAGCTGTGACTCGGAGAAATCAGAAGCAGAGGTTAAGCAATTCTTGCCTTCTGTCTCACAGTACAGGAGTCTGAAGAGTCCCTTGATCTGACATTTTGCCCTACTACCCCAGTGTACCCCTTCAGGTCACACTCTAGAATGCAGACTGAAAGTTGTCTTGTGTATAGGGGTTTCAGAGTTCAGTAAAGATATGCAACTAACCCTTATCAAAATCAAGGAACTATTCTGAACATCACTATGAAGTATATTACAAATAGTGGCATAAGTGCCCATGGCATGCAAATCAGAAATTCTGTAAGTTAGTGGTTTCATGGGCTATTCTAATGCTCTTTGTTCTTTGATTCTTGTTTTGAATGACTAAACCTCAAATTCGATCTGTCCTACCATGACTTAGATACAAATATAGGCAGAAGTTATTGCGTGAAACATCACAAATACTGGTTAATAAACTGCAGAATTTAGTAAGGTTATTTACAAATGTTTTGTTGGCCTAAATGTTAGGAGTGCTATCAGTGCTTGTCCAACATCTGCTTTACATCCTCCAAGTAAAAACAAAGGACAGTGTTACAGCAGTGTAATTGGTTAACGTCAGAATTTGGTCCCTGCTTTTTGACTCTATGGAAGTATGTTACAGTATATGCAATATCCTATAGAGGGTTAACTTCTGCATTTATGACACACACTGGTTTTGCCTTTGCAATGAATCTCAGTTGGATACTTTCCTTACCTTCCTTTCAGAAAAGGCGACGACGGATTGATCGGAGCATGATTGGGGAGCCAACAAACTTCGTTCACACAGCTCATGTAGGATCAGGAGATCTGTTCAGTGGGATGAATTCAGTAAGTGTGAGCAGATGAACATAATTTGATATTAAGCAGAACATAGGAGCAGTATATGTATATTGTTGCTGAAGCAATGAGTCTTTCCACTATAACGTGTGTGAAACAACCTGCTAGCGTTTTAATTCCAAGTCCCAAACAGTTGCACTCAAGAATATGGAATATAATTTTTTTAATTCCTGTATTTATTGACAGCGCATTTTAGATGCTGTATAAATTGTGCAGAATACTCTCTAAATTAAAAATTAATTCTGACGTCATGCGCGAACCAAAATAGAGGTACATTTGAAAATATGCTAGAGTATTTTATGGGAAACTTTGTGTCTTACAACTGACCACGTTTACTGCCTTAAATGCTTTAAGCTGTTTTAAATATAGTTCATGTAAAACTCTAGCTTACATTGGTTTGTAGTGCAAACACATTTTTTGTGTGTGTGTGTTCTTGTTGAGGTTTTTCTATATTCTGTAGCCTTCTTTGCAGTGTGAATTATTTCCAGAGGAAGCAATGTCACAGGTGAGGTTTTGTGCCTTCCTGTAGGTGATAGGAACAAGAAATATTTTCTTCCTCTCTGAAAGTGAAAATCAGAGGGTAAGATGATGATTATGGAAATAGAGTTATCTTGCACAGCTTCAAATTTCTGTTCAATGTCAATCTGTTTTTAAGGTCAAATATATATAGAAAAGGGTTGTATGTAGATAATGGTGACAAACACGTCTTGACTTTAATAATCCTTTTTAAAGGAAAACATGTTTGGAGATGAAAAATACTTGTTGACAAAAGAGAAGAAAAATCTCTGTCAGAAGTATCAGAATAGAGAGCAGAGCTGTAAAGAGAAGGGTGTTATTGCAGGCAAGTGAGGTCATTTGTAGTTTCAACTAGTTTAAATTGATCTTACTGAGACTGGACAAAAACTTTTGTAACTCAGCATGTAATGGGGAAGGGCAAAGCTAGAAAATTTGACATAACAAACAATACACTACATTTTCCCTGAAACAACATAGTGGACTGAAAGTGATTTGTCCTAAACATCTGTGAGCAAGTTAAATGCCAAACATCTTCAACTTGATAGAATTTAGGTACAGCTAATTACTTATTTGTTCCAATGTATTACATTAACATTTAAAGCATTTCAAATTGAAATAATAAAGTGATAATAAACTGAGCAGTTTTCTTTTTTTTTTCTTAAGCATGGCTTTTGCTTTTAAAATATTTATTGTCTTTCCTGGGGGAACCTTCCTCACTCTCACAGCTGAGCTGCCTCGTGAGGTTTGTGGCACTTGCCCGAAGCTTTGTTTTTTCACCTCGCACTTTCCCCCTGCTTGCCCTCACCTTTGCCTGACATTTCAGTTTATCTCCAGATAGTACGTAATTATTGTTGTCTCTCTGCATAGACTTTTTCATTTTGAATGCTCATAACTTGCTCTTTCTCTCACTTTTTTTTCATTTGGATAACGTGGTGCATCAGTGGACAGAGGGATTTTTCTGATCCCAGATAGAAAGTATCTGTATGAAAAAATTAGCATTTTTTTCCCCCTCTCTTGCTCCAGAAACTCAAATCTCTACTTTTTCACACTGCCTATTTTCTGCCTCTGCTGTGGTGTTCTCCATGTTCATTCTTTGCAGTGTAATTTCCAAGACTGCAACGTTAACCTCCACATATTTTTCTGCTGCATAGTTTTCACTTGTAGCGTGGAGATTATGCTCCTTCAGGAATCTCTCTTCTAAATACCCTAGGAAAATACCTGCAATTTAATTACAATTTCCCATATAAATTCGCTTCTTCATCCACTTTCTGTCTGCTCTGTGGCTTTTTTCATCGGCGTTATTCTTCATTACATATCCTTATGATTTTGCGTGAGTAGTTTTCTGACTACTGAGTTATTTGGCTGTTTTGTTTGCTGTCTCTGTAGAGTGCCTCATTCCTTTGTCAAAGGTACACTTAAACAGCAGCAGCCCGCTGTGCACTGGTTCTTTTTCATTCCAATCCCTTTCTTCCCTGTTTTAGTTTCATACTCCGTGGTGAAATCTCCTACTTTCTTCTTCTGCTTCATGTTCTTCAGTCTAGTCTTTGATTTAATGTATTTTTGTGTAGTTTTCAATTGTTTTCTTTCTCAAGGTCCATCTGTGCTATTTCCTATTTCTAAAAGGATGGGAAAGAAAAGGAAAGAAGGAAATTAATGAGACACATAAGCAGCACAACAGTTTGTATGATCTTTAATTGGTGCAATTCTCTTTCCCTTCCAAATCCTTATCCCATCTAAATTAAACATAAGAGAAAAGAACCTTGCTGTTATGTATCATCAAAGAAAGGCAATGACATCTTTGGGAAAGAATAAAAAATTAGTTTGATTTCAGCTCAAATTGCCTCAAAAGGAGGGTTCTTGAGGAAGAATACCACCCTATATACCTGCTTCTGTAGTTAGACATGCTTTTTGTTCAGAGTTTTTAACACTGTATGTCTCCTACAAAGATTTTCATATACAAAATAGCCACGGAACTGTTAATGCAGTCAAATTTAATTTCTTGCATTCTCTGCTTCAAGTGCAACAACCTCTGCATTTTAGACTGATAGTTCCTTACCCACTAACACAAGCATTTATGTGTGTGACTCAGGAACCAGGGAAATTATTCTAACCTTTGGAAGAAGTACTCATAAAAATTTACGCTTTAGCCTTGCAATTTGTGTTGATTTGCTGCTCTCAGAAATTTTAAAGTCCTGAAAGGTGATGTGGCCTGGAGGCTTTCCTAGTTCTTTTTCACTGGAGGCAGGGTTCATTGAGATGAAATTAACAAACGTCCTGAAGTCACTCTTTTGAATGCATTTACATGTAGATTAACCATTTTCTGAGGAAAAAAAAGAAACTGTTAAAGTCAAACTCCTTTGTTTCAATGGGCAACAGAAGATGCTTGGTGAAGAAGAAGAGCAGCTTGGTGAAATGTGAAAGTTATTAAACACGTCCCCATCCATGAGTATGATTGCAGTTCTCCGCACTTCCTTACGGAATTTGTGGTCTCTGATGTCAGATGCACTAGAGTATTGGCTCTGAGTATTGGCTTTTCCCTGAAGAAAATCGGGGTGGTAATATTGCTTTGCTGCAGATGTATCACTTATTTTAGCAAAAGGCCAAGGTAGAAGATGGGTTTGCATTGCACTGCTTAAATACGTAAAAACACAACCTTTTGCATAGCATTGCAGTATGCCATGCTGTTGAAGATGAAGATCAAAAAAACCAGGCTCTTTCATCACACAGGTTTGAAAAACTGTGTGGAAGAGAGTTCTGCAGATTCATTTTATGTGTGCTTGTGTTTTGCTGTGCTGTGGGAAAAAAAAAAAAAAAAGATGTACTTCTTTTGTCTTTGTAGACAGGGAAAATATTGTGCAAGCTACTTGGAAATATTCCTCCTGTGCTGTTTTAATACAGCTTTCCAGTGATGATTTTAGGTCTCTGCTAAGGAGCATACATGAAATAATTGCAAGTGGTGCCCTGCAGGCGTGGCCTTGCATGAATGCTGTTTTCTGCCCATTGTGTGGTTGTTATGTATGCTCTGGGGTGCAGAGAGAAAAAGGCCAAACCTTTAAGGTTCTGGTTATCTTCCTGCAGGCACTTGGACATGATTATTTTGTCTCATGCAACACAAGCAGGAAAGAACTATGGATTCCCTTTTTCTTTTTTTTTTTGTTGATAGAGGCAGTGCAAGTCATAGTTGGGATATGCATGTCCTGGGGTCATGAAGGGCATGTCTTTATGTATTTATTTGCACCCGGCAAAAATACTCTCAAATAAGCTATTTTCAGGGAAGTTCAGATTGACTATGATTTGAATAATAAATGCCCTTCCATTTAAAGGAACAGTAGCAATCAATGAAAGCATTGTGTGCTGTTACATAAATAGATAAATCAAAAACATTCCACAAACAAAAAGGTCCTTTTTGATTTAGAAAGTCCTGTTTTATCCCTATTTCAATAATCTGAAATTAGCTGTACAGTGCAGATGCTATCCAGATATTTGAAAGTTGTCTGTTATATTTTTAACATAATGGTGTTAACTTCTCTGGTTTATCATACTTGCCAAAGAACATTTTCCATATAACAAGATGAATTATAGTTTGCAAGGTGGAGTCAATGCCAGTAAGATATTTGAATTTTTTTATATTTATTTTTTTGATTCATCAAGTGGGTCAGTGAAAGCCTGAATCAGCCACTTTTCTTTGGGAGAGAGGAAAAACTTCTGCCTCAGCACCAGTTCTTCCATCTCTCCTGCTGAGCTATGTGCAGATGTTACAATTCCAGCGAGCCTTTGCTGCACATACCTTCATGCAAAAGTAATGTAGCTGTACTGTTAAAGGAGCACTTGAAAACTAAACCTACAAGAAGAAACAAAATTGGAAGCAAGAAGATGCCACAGCTCACTGTCTTTCTTCTTTCCTCTGCTCCCCTTTTCCATTCTGTCTCCAGGTCAGCTCAATTCAGAACCAAATGCAATCCAAGGGAGGCTATGGAGGTGGCATGTCTGCAAATGTTCAGATGCAGCTTGTAGATACGAAGGCAGGATAACCTTGGGGATACTTTTCCAGTAAGTATTGCACTCTGTTTTTTAGGCACTGTTAGAGTAGTAGGAAAAACAATCATGCGACTCCATAATTAGCTGCCTATAAAAAGCTGTGTCTTTATGATGACCAATTTTAAAATCTATTTCTGAGTAAAAAATTTGATAGTGTGTAAATGTGCTAATTTCTTTACACAATGAACAAGAGATTGTTCTGACTATATCAGTCTGTCCTTAAGCCTGTTTTAACCAAAAATGATATTGTAGACTAATCTTTGCAAGTGAAGTTAGTTGTAAAACAAATCATCTCAGAGGTATGCTAGTATATGATTAGGGATTTTGCAATGGTTCCATAAAATGTATGGTGTTAAATCAATGAATAGCAGCGTTACAGTTGGAAAATTGTTACTCAGAATGCTCAAAACTCGGTTTAATAACGTGTTTTCTGTCTTTCAGGTTTATGTGAATTCCTGTGTCTTCTTTCCTGTGTCCTCTCTTTTGCCTTGGTGACTGCTTTCTGTGCTCATGACAAGAGAAGTGATGGCTCATTGTTCACCCTTTGTGATTAGTCCAGTGAAAAGTTGCTGTTTTGCTCTGATGATGCCATTTATCAGATTGGTCCAACTGTGCCTTTCAGTGGCATGCACGCATTGGCCTCTACCAGTATCATGGATGTAGAGCTGTTTAGGATTGGTTTTCACTTTTTTGTTTGTTTTAAGGCAAATTAAAGCACCAACCTTAGCTTTCCTCATTCCTCACAGATACTAATGCACAACACCGTGTTGCTTTATAGTGTTTTAATCTTTTTCCCTCCACTCGAGTAATTTAGAAATGAATGAGTTTCTATTAATGTCTTCAATCACCTGATGTTGACACCCATTTTTGAAAGGTCTGGGACCTTGCAAGCACAAGTAATTATTTCGTACAAAATCAACAGAGTAGATGACCGCATGCTTTGTGAGGTTGCTTTGTATGGTGGCCTGCTTGGTGCTAAAAGAGAAAAAAAAAAATTGCTTACTGCAGATGTGAAAAATTTTGCTGTGGCACCAAGTCATGCCTGTTTCTGAAAAAGGACTTGTAACTTAGCTGCTTCAGAGTTATGTCTTTATTTTAGTTTTCACACAACTGGCCTTGAAATAATAAAGAGAGAACTTGCATTCATGAGGCATTTGTTGTAAATGTTCGGTATATTTATTTTGAAAGAGCTGACCTTGAGACTGTAAACCAGTGTAGTACCGTATCTAAGTGTTGTGGGATTGCTTTAGTCTATTTAAAAAGAAGAGCAACATGTTTGGCTGCTTCTTTTTCTTTCTACAGTTCTTCTTAATTTTAAGCTGTACGGTCATTTCCAGTAGCAGCATGTCAGACTGCCTGCAATATTAGCTGAAAAGTTTAGTAGACCTTTCTAAGTAGTTGGCAGTTTCTGTGTACTGAATATTTAGGGGCCATGGAAGTTGCTAAGAGCAACATACTGATCTGGCAGAACAGGTGCCAATGAAAACAACACACAGGGTGACTTTTTATTAAGTCAGTAAATTGCCTTTTGCTCAGGTTCCGAAGCATGTTTCTTTTGTATGTTGTGAAACTGCATTTTAATACTGCACTGTTTTCGGATTGTCTCTGTAAATGGTCCCTTTTTTTGCTCCTTGTTGGTGGTTTGAGAGGCGTCGAAGATTTGAGTCCTGCTTACATGAAATTTTAATGTGAAAAGAAACCCAAAAACATCCCATCCAATAAGGCATTACTGAGCTCAATCAGATCCATTTTTATATGCAAACATGCATGTAGATTGTTGTCATAAATGATTTTTTTATTCTATTTCCATCATTTCCCTGATTTCACATCGCAACAGCTGTCTGGTTGATTTAAACATTTCTGAACCTACCTAATCTCCTCTCTCTGTTCATAAACAACACGTAAAATACGTTGGCCATGGAGGTAGTTTGCCTTCCCTAAGTTGTATTTCAGTGGTAGATGTCACTTATCTGGTTGAATAGTTCAAATTAGGTTGGATAGTGTTCACTGATAAAGGTACTGATTCCTGATGACAGAAGATCGAGATGTTCAGTTGTCTGGCTGCATAAACACATGGCAGTGCAGTGATATATTTTTTTTTTTTAGGGGTTAATATTTCCAATGCCACTTTATCAATGACTCTTAATTATACTACAAAATTATTTCAAAATTATTTGATCTTTGTTACTGGTAATAGCAGCTTAAATTTGCTTGCCAAACCTATCTTGCACTTGCCAAAATGTTTTCAGCTCAAAAGCCAGGAAAAAGAATTGACATATTTTTATAACAGACATACTTTTTTTGTACATTGTGTTCATTCTTGAATAAAGTCAGTTCAGTGTTGGCTTGTAGATATTAAAAGGAAAGTATTGACTTTGATTCAATAAATGTTTTCTTTCAGTTGGTGGACTACCTTTTTTCTTTTACATAAAGTACATTTCCTTTAGAAAAACACTTGCATCTTACAGATAAATTAATGTTAAAAATTCTCTGAAGAGTAGGGTATTGTTGTCAATAATTTCCAGGCTTGAGTCTTTTTCATGTCACTTGACCATTTTGCTGCCAAGTGGATTAAGCCATAATTTTATCAGCAGTATTGTTGGATTGATTTAGCATGTATCCCGAGGAAGGAAAAGTTTCTTTAAAAATACATTGGAAATCTTTCCTTTTGACTGGAACTCATGTGTGTGTCACTTTCCTGATTGTGATGCAGATTACTGTGGTGATCAGTAGAAGACTTCATTGTCACCATAATATGCTCATCTGCATTAAAAATACCTACAAGGCACAATATTGTCTACTCTGTATTTGGCTCAATTAATTTTTATATTTGACACTCTCAAAGTCAATTCCTTAAGCGATAACTTACTGCATGAAATTTCATGCTAAATTGTTTTAAAAACTGATAATGAATTCTTCAGCTCATGCCAAGTTCATTAAATTGCCAGTTGAAATAAAAAGCCTAAATGGGAAGCAGGTTCCTAAAGGGAAATAGAGATAAACCCATGAGATATCAATCATCTAGAGAGTTCTTTTCTTTAGCTGTTGAGGTTATAGAAACTTAGGACTGTCTACAAAGATGTGTCTGAACTGGGTACTAACCTACAGTAAATGTTGGGAGTTTATGGCCAAATTGGTTAGTTCTGACCTGAATCAGTTTCTTAATGCTTGTCCAGAGTAAGCATGGGAGCGAGTGTCATAGGATCAGAAATAATCTGTTATGGGGAATGTTGGTAGCTTAGCCTAGCTGTGGAAAAGCATCAAGCTTTTTGAATTAAAAAAAAAAAAAAAAAAAAGCACACCACCAAAAAAAACAATCCACAGAACATTCCACCTAGTGACAAAGTTTAGCTCCCCCTGTGGCTGTGCATATGTCCACTGGAAGGAGTTCTTCTGCGTTTTGGAATCTCTCTTTCCAATGTATTTGGCTCACTAGCTTTGTCCAGGTTATTCTGTTTGGCTGGGGGGCACAGAGCATGCTGAACATGTTGCCAGAAAGTCAACCACATCATCACCAAGAGTCAGCCAACCTCAGGCAGCATGATTCATTTCTGCCATCAGTGGTAATTCTGTCTATCACCACTACACAAGACATAATTTTCTGCCTTCACACAAGCCAGTAGAAATGATGAGATCAGACTTCAAGTAGGTTTCTCATTAAGCCCAGAAAATTCAAGAGTGCTGGTTTAGTTGGCAATAGTTTGCTGAATACCAAGCTTGCTTTCTTAAATATGCTGCAGATTGGTATAAACACATTCATGAATGACTGAGCTGTCATGCAAAAGGTGGATTCATTTGTAGGTATTTAGGCATTTATGTGAGGTTTTTATGGCATGCATTGTCTGTAGACAAGTTTATGTTTGGGCTTTTTTTCAAGAAATTTGATTATCTATTTTCAGATATAAAATAGTAGCAGAGCCCATTAGCAGAAAATAAAAGTAGGGCATTACATTTGGTTTATCAGTTCTCTCAAGTGAAGTGGACGTCACTTTTGGACTTGGCCTGCTATAGAAGAAGACACTTCTGGTATGCCATGGCACACACACACAGCAGGGCTGGAGATCTGGTAAACACTGAAATTAGCCTTCTGGGATTTTCCAACAGGCTGGGAAGGTGTTGGTGTATGAAAGGGTCATGGTAAGCTTTATTAGTCCCACAGTGACTTTGACAGTGGGAACTATTTCAGCATTAAACAGGGAACCACCCACTATGTCACTTTTCCTCGAAATGCTGAGCAGTAAGAAAGCTCCATTTTTTGGTGTCAGCACTCCCGGAGTGCTAGTCTTCTGCCAGTGTTCTGCATGGCAATTGTTTCCCAGGAATGCTCTTTGTTTTGCCCATGCTATGCCTTCAGTGCCAGGAAGGGGCTGTTGGCTTTTGATTTGCTGTTGTTGTTTTTTTTTTTTTAATCTCTCACCATTACATCAGCCTTTGTAGGTTATAGTTGATTTGAAATAAACATATATTACATTTGTGCGTTTTCTGGTGGGAAGCTCAGATGAATGATTTCTGTTGACAGAGAAATTGTTAGAGAAGCCCTCATGCACCACACAGGAGCTTGGGTTAATCTTTTGCACCTGCTGTCACTCACCACATCCCTCATCAAATGCGTGAGGTCATCTGTTGTTGTGCAAGGCCAGCTCTTGAAACATCGCTTTGGGGAGGAAAATGAGTGTTACCTGAATTTTGAAGTCCTCAGCTTTCTTGAAATGTGGCAACTCCGGGGAAATACTCATTCTGAAATAGGGAAGTGGCTGTTCTGAAATAGTTTTCCTTAGGAAGTCATCTTTGCAGAATCAATAAAACATTCGAAGAACCATACTCCTTGGAGAAGGGTACGCTGTCCAGGTGGTTAATGCTAATGTACATTTTGGCACTCCACAGCTTTTTCCACTTGTCACAAATTCACATACTTGAGCAGTAACAACCATCTCTTGTATGGTGTATGCATTAAGGAGCAGAGATAATGCATTGATATGGGTGCACTGTGCAGTGTTTTGATCCCTGTTCATGAAGGAGAAAGACATTCCCAAAGATGAACATAAGGAATAAACAGTCACATTCCAGCAAGCAGCACTGGGTTTGAAACGATGGAGAACTGTGGGGAAGGCAGATACTAATGGTGGGTGAGTGAAAAGAAATGAGAATAAGTGGGGGAGAAGGATAAACTTTGATAGATGACCTAGCACTGTACTCAGGCCAATTCCCCATGGCATTATTTCAAGAAGAAGCTATTGGCAACAAGCACAAAACCAGAGCCCAGTGCAGCAAGGCTTGTTCATTTGTCACTGTTTTGGGCAGTAGGTTCCAAGTCAACTACTCCTGTAAGTTGCAACAGATACTTGGTTTTCAGCTGGCATAATCAGGACCTGGCATAACAGGTGATAGGAGCAGCCCAGGGGAACAGGGCTGCACGGTGAACAGACCTAGGAAATTAGGCTCTTTTTGACAATTTTCAAAGTCTGTGTTAAATGCAAACTTATTTTTCTTAATGTGAACATACACAAGATGGTGCAGTGGATGCCCGTGCAGCTCCACATCTCTAAAAAAAACATTCAGGCGTCTGTTTCCAAACTCATTTGCTGGAGCTGGACAACATCAGGATGATATTTGGACCTACTGCTCTATGTCCAAATCCTAGTACTTTTTATTGGTTAGAACCACCCACTTCTATCTGTTTATATCTATCTGCAATTGCACAGATGCTGTTTTCCTCAGAGACTACTAAAATGCACCAAACCCAGTCCATGGAAAGGAACTAATTGCCATGCCATGATTTGGTTGAGCTATATCAAGAAGACTGCTTACAAAAACAATTATAAATAGGATTTTCAGCCTCTTAAAACACAGTTGCATAGTCACTCAGTCATTTGCATCACGTTCCTGGGCAGCACTGCTACCTTCCTAAGTGCAAGTTTGCATAGTACTGCCCTGAGTTAAGAAAACCCTTTTTGAAACAGATTTTCTAAGTAAGGACTCTTGGTTAACTCTGTGCAAAGAAAGTCAGGTCCTCCTCCTCCTCCCTGCCCCCCTATAACAGGATTATGCCAGCACAGTCAGCTAATGGAAGGGCATTAGCTGACTGTGTAGCTAATGTAGCTACAGCTAAACTGTAGCTGTTTATTATCAATACAATAATCAGTGCTGTCACTGCTTGGAAAACTCTGATCAAGTATGTGCAGCTGCTCATTTGGATAGCTTTCTCACCGAGGAAAGCTATCCACACCCATGATGAAAAATCCTCCATGGGACTGACATGCCTGCTAAATTTAAGCTTCTCTGTAAGTAAGAAATTTCCACAGTCCTGTCCAACAAACCATGCCACAGGGCCCATAACCTCCCCTCGCCCTGCCTCGTTATTTGCAATATTGATGTTCACATTACGACATGTTTAAAAAGCTGTAATAAATAGTTAGCTAATTAGAAAGTGGGCACTGCCCTCCCTGGATGGGCAATTGCTTCAGATAGCTCACTGTCCCATGATAAAGCCAGTTTCACGGCACACTGGACTATTTCCCAGTTGAGAAACCTACAGTCAAACCCTCTGACCATAAATGAACACGCAAATCAGAGTGGCCTTTTCTAATCAGGCCAAGAGGATCCAGAATCAGAGGGCTGCAAAGAGTTAAGAGGATTTTACAGAACTAAGAATACATTTCTGTGGTTCAGGGTTTCATTACTTTGCTTTTTCCTCTGCACAACCTTTTGCCAAGATTTCTGGTCCAACACATTATCTGCATCTTTATTCCTTTGCTGTGTACTGCTTAAGGTTTTGGGTTCCTGAGAACTGTTTCTAAAGAATTTATATGCCACTGTTGTTTCTCATTTCACATCTGAGGTAAGTCTTAATTCTCCCATCACAAATGGCATCGTAGCCCCATTTACATGGATTATCAGGAATATGCAGCAGGAACTAATGAATTTAAGTGAGACTTGAAATAACAAACATAGGAAAGCTACCCCTACACATCTGCAATGCTCCTGAAGTAGCATCAGTACTGTTTTGGTATTTGCTTGGGGGTCAACCCCCCCTGAAGGGTTACAGCAGTGCCACACTGCTTTTGTAGCATTGCATCAAATGTCTGGCATCCCATGCCTAATCCTCACCTCAGCCAGTAACATTTATTGAAAAGTCACTTCATAGCTTTCTAGTGAGGTGCACAAGCACACAGGGCATAATAAGCCCTTTGAAAAACTCGTTTATTTTTTTATTGATAAGAATATCAAATTAGCCATTTTACCCATAAACTAATTGCCTTATCCCTTGCCCGTGTTCTGTAGTCAGAATGATAAGACTGCTTCAGAAGCAGCAGGGTAACAAGAGTTCTCTACTGCTTCAAGCAATTACCGGGACGTAAGAAAAAATAGATCTTCTGAGAAAAGTAAAAAGGGTCATAGCATTC